ACTGGACAAAACAGATATGGGAAAACTACAGGAGACATTATAATACGAAATGAGTCAAGCACAACAATGGCCAAAGGAACAATATGATAAGTACCGAAGACCGGATCCAAACATACAACTGGGAGATATGGTATGGCTAATACTACGCAATATTCATACAACGCGACTGTAACCGGTACGGGTACTCGGTTATTGGTTTTGTTTTATGTTTTGTTTTAAGTATCGCTTTGATACTTGGTTTGTTTTAAAGTATCGTTTGATACTTGGTTTTGTTTTATGTTTTGTTTTAAGTATCGCTTTGATACTTGGTTTGTTTTAAAGTATCGTTTGATACTTGGTTTTGTTTTATGTTTTGTTTTAAGTATCGCTTTGATACTTGGTTTGTTTTAAAGTATCGTTTGATACTTGGTTTTGTTTTATGTTTTGTTTTAAGTATCGCTTTGATACTTGGTTTGTTTTAAAGTATCGTTTGATACTTGGTTTTGTTTTATGTTTTGTTTTAAGTATCGCTTTGATACTTGGTTTGTTTTAAAGTATCATTTGATACTTGGTTTTGTTTTATGTTTTGTTTTAAGTATCGCTTTGATACTTAAAGAGTTTTACCAAAGTGTATCGATTGATACCTTTGATTAGTTTCGTTCATGCTAGACATGAACAGATTTGTGTATTTAAAGACCGCCTGTTTCTACGATAGAAAAGGCAGACTTCAACAGATAGTATTTCAATATACTTGGTTGAACGGTTACTTCTTTGTTCCCCAGTACACCCACGATGCCTCCTTTAGTTCTCAGCTCTCGTCTCCTCTCTGGTAGAGCAGGCCACCTGCCAACTATCGTATCTATTATCGATAACGTGATTAGCACCTTGCGAACACGTTACAGCGATCATCATAGCAATTGGACTACAAGAGAATCGGACCATTCAGGATACTGGAGATGGTGGGCAGCTGAGCTTATAAACTCGACCTTCCATCCTCGATGCGAATACACAACACATTCTACATCTCACTCCTCGAATTACACAATGACAACAAGTTTCCCTCGAAAACAATTATTCCTCCTCCTCCGATTGAACTCGACGGAGAACCAGAATACGAGCTCGACAAAATAGTCACTTCTCGCTTCTTCCACAGTCACCTCCAATACCGAGCCAAGTGGACGGGATATTTGCCCGAATACGATGAAACTTGATACTTTGCACAAAACTTCTAACACGCACAAGATGCCCTCTCAACCTTCCACCAACGATACTCAGGCAAGCCTGACCCAGGTAACAATCACATTCAACCAAGACAAAGGCGAGGGAAAGGCTCCCATGCTATTACAACTTCACAAGGGCTGGGGCGATAGCTCCCGCCAAACCACACTGACCAGCCCCGAATACTCATTCATGGGGCGGACTGATGAAGAACTCTGAGAAAGGGAAAAATAAGCACAGCATAACACCATGTCATAGACGGTATGCTACGATGATGGATGTTCCATACACTACGGGGACAAGGAAGGCTCGGGATAGTTCTCGAGTGAATACAAAAATTTCGGTCTGCGCCCAGACCATGCCCTAAAGCACTGGAAACAGTGCTTCAACACCACATGCAAAATGCACAGAATGAAGAAAATCTCTGCAGGATACTATCCACAGAAGGATGGGATAAAGAAAGAGTTGAAAGGAAAAGATGTCACGGTATGGTACAGAGCTAGGACCTCGAGGATGAGGCCCAGCGAGGGGGGAGCCCAAAGCTCTTCGACAGAAACAGAACCGGACGCTAGGAGCCTACACAGGCAAATCCGCGAACTCCGGGAACAACATGGTCAGGCTGAAGCCACAATTTTGGCAAACAACAAAATGTATGCGGAACTACGATAGCTGAACAATGTTCATAGACACATGATTGAGATGGTGAACCACACCTTGGAAACAGTGAGGGTAAGATGGAGGGATGCAGATGACAAGTTCAATAGGCTTCGGAGGTCCATATGGTCAACAGGACGGGAACTATTGAAGCTTGGGGAAAGAGCCCGATGGAACTCAGGCTTCGTAGGAGAGGAGCTAATGTCACAAATGTGGCCTGGCGAGGAAAAGGTTTTCATGTGACACATGGTTATGAGTCACAGGTATGTTATTGTTTCACACATATGACTCATTCGAGTCATATAATTTGTTATGTGTGGGATTTGTGATGCTTTCGCACATAGCTCAAATATGGGTCATGGGACGTGTACCTGATGAGGATGCCTTACGAGTGTGCCTTGCACATATGATTTATGTTTCGCACATGACCTCGTGATGAGGTCATGGGTTTCACACATATGACTCAGTCGAGTCATATATTGTATTATGATTGGTTTATGAGTTTTTGCACATGACCTCGCTATGAGGTCATGGGTTTTGAGCATGTGACCATCTTGGTCACATAACTAGTTTATTATGATTTGGTTTCACACATGTGACCACTTTGGGTCACATGACTATATGTGGGAAGAACACTATATAAGGAGGCCGATGCGGCCGATGAGGATTAGTTCTTCATGCTTTGTTCTAAGTACTTTTCCTACTTATTACTTTGACGAATATAAAACACCTTACGATCTTTATCTTTATTGCAATGTTATCGTTATGCCAAGGAAAGTTCGTCAGGAAGAAGAGTTAGAGAAAACTTACAATAGGCATTCTCAATAGAAGACAAAGGTCTTGTACTATCGGTAACCTAGGCAGAGGCCTAGTGCTATCATAAGACTAAGGAAAGAAATAGAAGGAGAAGAGAAGTATCATTTCCTGTCACCAAGAACTAACTATCCAAGGAGGAAACATTACACTCAGCATCAATCACAGCCTGCAGCCATTGAGGCATACTATCTATTAACTCCATGAGCCGTTCACTAGGAATACCTTGCCGAACAATATTCAAGGCCTGTTCCAAGGCTGGAATATCTCCAATCCTCCCCCAGGTTTCCCCCAGCTCTGACTCCATATCACGCCATAGTGCTTCTATGAGGTTCAGATCTGGAGACTGTGCTGGTCATTTAATTTGTTCCATCTCATTCAGTTGCCTGTATTGTCTGGCTGCCCCTTTATGACCAGGAGCACCATCCTCCACAATGCCAACCCACCCATATTCCTCGCAAACCTTATGCCAGAATGGAACCAAATGGGGTTCTATGACCGTCTCCACAAAAACCACTGAATCAATCTTTGCTTTACCAGGAATTAAGACCAGATTTGACTTTAGAGTGCCACAAAAAGCATCCTATACCATTTTTGATTGTCGTCCAGACTAATTGGTATCATCCATGCAATCAGGATGATATTCTTCTGATGCCTTGCATGTAACCCAAGATCAGTTACTAAAGCTAACCATTGAAAATGTTGATTCATCCGTCCATAAAACTCGAAGCCAATCATCCCGTGTCTAATTTAATTACTCCTGGTACCCAGCAATCCTGATGGGACAGTTATATGGCCCTATCACAAATTTTCACTGAGGAACTCGCCTGTGGTATCCCATAGAGTGCATTACTCTCTTCACTGTATCGGGACTGCAGGCATAATTCATCTCAATACAGATAACATCCCAGCTCATCCGGTGTGTTCTTGCATTGTGTGTAACAAAGGCTTCAAGCTACTGCTTCCCGGCATCATCAAATATAGGTAGGTGGCTGGTCCAGTGTCTGTTTAAAGGGGTACCTGTTTTCCTTGCCCGCTGATAGCTCTTTCTACTTGTTAGCTATTTCATATCTTAACTGTATTTATATGTGTTATTACTTACCTTCTGACACGTTCGCCTATCAATATTTAAATTTTTTCCAATCTTGGTCCAACTCCACTTGGCTTCTGGTAAGGTTATTACCTTAATGTATTCATCCCGGGTCATCTCACATTACTGGACCCCTTCTGGATGCTATTCGTGTATTTCTTTTTGCTTCATATCACAATGTTTATGTGGCGTTTGGGGTATGTAGTGTTTGGGGTATGCAGAGTTTGGGGTACATAGTTGCAATTTACTCTACTGTGGTATCCATACCGTAGCACCTATGGAATAGGGGCAAGAATTGCAGGGATCGGGTCTCATCCAGCAGCACCCGAGATACCCTTACACCCAAGTACTAACTGTTGTGATAACGAAGTAACTTAAATAATGATAACCACAATAAAATCTGAAGACTTAAAGATTAATCTAAGCTTACATGCTCTCTCTAAGAATAGGGCTAAACCTGCCCTTTATATACCCCTTTATTGTTACACAAGCACTGCCCCATACCAAGGAAATCTTTAGATGATGCTGCAATACAATACCATATATACTCAGTCATGTGGCTGTGTCACATGACCAACACAGTCCCATCACCGGATAGGAAAGGAATAACGTAATTTCCAACAGTTGAGAAGGGCAAGAGAAGTGTTTTTTTTTTTTTTTAGAAAAAGTGAAGAAAAGTGAGGGTCGATACTTGACGTCTAGCAATAAGGTTCCCAGAAGCATTGGCATTTATGATACCTGTCTTGGCGACAAGGTGTCAGGAAACTTGATGAATTGATGGGCATGATGCAAGCAGCACGAGAAGAAAACAAGTCTCGAAGATCAGCCACTCACTGTGGCCTTGTATCACCGCGTCCAAAATGCCTTTGCCCCCAAGCACAATTACCTCCGGGAAAAATTCAACAACATCCTCGAGTTCTATGTTTTTGGATCACCCATGTACCATATGGTTTTAGAGGTTATTTCACCTATAGCCGCTTTGGTACCGGTAGACTACTCGTATGCATTGTGTAAGCGAGAGGATTTATCAGTGGGTGTTGACCCCAAAGTTCCGAGTCCAAAGCCCAAGCTTAGACCATTGCTGCGGTAACCGGACAGGTGCAGGTAGATGAACGTTAGAATTTAAGCCTTGCGCTTGGCCACCGTCTCATCAGATAAATGTCATCTTGCCCCGTCGTCGTCATTACCGTGTGAGGGACAGCACAACGCAAAGAACTCTTGAAATTCTCGTCGCAATAGAGAAAAAATGAACCCGGAACCGGTGCATAACCGACGACTTTCGGTGGAAGACGCAGAGGATGATGAGGTACTACCTTCTTATGAGGATGTTATTCAAGGAGGATCCTCTGCTACTATCGTCGCCGCCCTCCCCGCGCGTCTGAGATATCGGACCCCTTCACCCCGACCAGGCTCTCGTTCGCAGCAGCGCATCTCACTGCCGGATCCTTCCACAGCGCCCTCGTCTGCGAGCCCGCAACAATATAGCTCTCTGCTAGGCCCCTCTTTCGCCCCCACAATTGTTGCATCTCCTTCTCTCGCCACGGTCACACCTCCGCATTCGCGCCCCATCGGGAATGGAAATTCCCCACAAGAACTACGAGCCTCCCGCTCCCCCCAACCAAAATACTCCTCCCTCCTCCCACCGGCCTCTGGCCCCACCGGCCCACCTCCGAACTACAACGTCACAACATCAAGTTTACCCGAGCCACCACGAAGCCGTGAGGGCAAAGAGCGGGATAAGGCGCCTCGAACCCAGCGGTGGATGTTCGGAAAAAAGGCCTCGCAAGCATATCATGAGGGACATCTCGAGAAGAAATATGCCCCCTCGAAGTACGAAGGTGTGCCGTTGGAATATGTTGTGGATAGATTTGGGAATCGGAAACGGGAGCTGAAGTTTGAGATGGACATAGGAGTGTCTATTACTGGGCTTGTCAGGGTGGGCGTTAAGTCGAGTCGATTTGGAGGTTAAGAAGCTGTAAGGTTGTTTGGGCGGTCATTGAGGACGGATTTTCCTTTCAACACTTTACGAAATTTTTACCATGATTCTGCATGAGCTATACGAGTACAGTACTTGTATTAGGCGACGGAGGGATGGCGGGGGGGAGAAACATCTGGGATGTCCAAGCGGTAAGCAAGGGTGACGGTGATCATCTCACGAAACCTCATCCAATAGCGGTTTCCCTTTAATTACACCCGCCCCAGCTTAATTTAAGTCAAGCATAATTCTACTTGTAGACTAACTTTAGCTATCATACAAATTCACCGTCTTGATCTTCACGAGCACGGACGCCCATCCAAAGCCGAACCATTGACCGACGTGCCACAATTGGGATGGGTATAATTTATGCACCGAAATATCCTCAGGTGATTTTTTCTGGAGAGCTCGTGGTATCGGTTTCGATTGACTCACCTACTTACTTGCCTATCGCTTGGGATAGTATTCTCTCTATCAAGTAAAGTAATAATTAGACGCGCTAGTAAATTTACCATGTCCTTCTTATAGTCCACGAAATGCAAGCGCCGCAGCACCGTAATCATAGCAGTCAGAGTTCAAGGACTTTTCCACTCGTATAATACTCGTACAGTGCTGCAGAAGTGCAGGGATAGCACCCGTAGTCGATCACTTTCTGTTTCGTTGAGGCTTCCGTGACTACCTCGGCCCCCCATAACCTCGATTATCTTTAGGTCACCTCAACCCTCCCGCGTCTCCTCTTCCCTCTCGCCTTTACGCTTTCACAACAAAAAGTCATAAAATTCCAGAGCAATGGCCGGCCCAATTCGTCATCCAATCCCACTCGACTCGCTAACAGACTACATTCGCCAAAACGTCCCGGTTATCAGCCTCCCGCTCACCATCCAGCAATTTGGCTACGGCCAGTCGAACCCAACATACCTCCTCACTTCCTCAAACACGGGAGCGAAATACGTCCTGCGCAAGAAACCCCCAGGGAAACTACTTAGCAAGACAGCACACCAAGTAGAGCGTGAGTACAAGGTCCTCAAAGCTCTGTCCGAAGCAGCGCAAGATCTTCCAGTGCCGAAGGTGTACTGTCTATGTGAAGATGCGGATGTCGCCGGGAGCGCGTTTTATATCATGGAGTTTTTGGACGGACGGATATTTGAAGATCCGGCATTGCCAAGGGTAACACCGGAGGAGAGGGCCGTTATGTGGAAGTCGGCTATCGTGACGCTGGCTCGGTTGCATAAAATACGGCCGGAGGAGCATGCAGCCTTGAAGAGCTTTGGGAAGCCGAGCGGTTTTTATGGGAGGCAGGTTCGAACGTTGTCCACTATTGAGGCGGCGCAGGCTTTGGTGAAGGATGTACAGACCGGGGTGGAGATTGGGAAGATTGCAAATTTCGACGAGGCGGTGGGTTCTCTGCCCCCACCGGTCCCCGTTTCTATGGGAATTAGGGCTGACTATAGTTGGAGAGATAGATGAAGTTTTTCTCTACTACACAACCGAAGGATCGATCAACCGTGGTTCATGGTGACTATAAGATTGATAACCTGGTGTTCCACAAGACTGAGCCGAGAGTCATTGGTATCTTGGATTGGGAGTTGTCTACTATTGGTCATCCTCTCAGTGATGTTTGTATGCTACAATTTTTAGCCATTGAGTTTGCACTTACTAACAGTTTCAAGCGAACCTATTATCACCATATCAGCTCGCCCTTGAAGCTGGCGCATCTGTGATGTTTGGTGAAACAAAAGGTCTCATTCCCGGTGCAACTCCCGGGCTTCCATCCCGCCAGCAGGTTATCGAGTGGTATACCCAGGCTTCTGGGTGGAATATATTACCTAGTGAAATGTATTGGGGGGATGCGTTTGGCTTTTGCAGGGTGTGTTTCTCATACTTTGCGTGAATCGGTGGTATACTGATAGAGCAGGTAGAACGCGGTGATTGTTCAAGGTATTACGGCCAGGGCTGCTAGACGTCAGGCTAGCAGTGCAAAGGCGGGAACGTATTCTGAGCGAACACCGAAGTTGGTGGCTCTTGCTTGGAAGTATGTTTCTATTGACTTATTACATCTACGGTCTTTGGGCTGCTAACGCTTTTGGCAGACATATCGAGATGAGTGAGAGAGAAAGGAGGAAGGAAGGAGGACGGGTTAAATTATAGAGGCCCGGACACGGGGGGTAATTGGTTTTATGTTTTGCTTTAGATATATCAATGGGACGTTTCGTTACGTCACTGAACGGCTGTGGTTTCGTTGTGAGATACGCACCCCGCCGGCGCGTGTATTATCCCGTGGGCTTCAAGGTTCAAAACCACCTTAAACAGTGCCCTTTACTTTACCGCTCCATTATCTTCCTCTGCCCTTCTGCTAATATTCTTATCCCGTATATCACTTAATCCAAAGGGCTATCTACCTCTCCTCCTGCTAGCCCTATATTTGTCTTGAGAATGGAACCTCCAGGTTGGGCCCCAATCGAACGCGAACCAAGAGTGCCTGACGAAGCTGAGGAACCTACAACCGGGGACGCTGCGGGCATTGGCCTTAGTGGTTGGGCGGCGCAATCCTCTTATGTACAACCTCCTCCCATTCATCACCGGCCTATCCCGCGTCCTCGTATGGAGTTTCGCAGACCTATTGCACTCCCTCTACAGCCCCCTCCTACCCCTCGACTGGGCTTAGTCGAGTCTGTCGGGCTCCCTTCAAAGTCCTCTCCAATCTGGGCTCATTGTCCACAGATGGCGAGAAGAAAAAGTGGACAGCTCAGTCCACCCACTAGATTTGGCAGGAGTTCTTGGCCTCAGCCTGCTAGGAAGAGATTTAACCGGTTGGTTCGGGATACTTCGCAATTTCCAACACCAGACACCGGCAATGCTCACCGGAGGCTCTATCCGTTGGCAGACAAAGCGCCTAGCGGAGCTCCAAGCACCACCTCTGCAGGGCTGTTCGTGCCGAGGAATGAGGACAGTATCCTTCAAGTCCATAATCCCGATCTGGCATCCGTTGCGTCTACCCCGGGGCCTACTACTCCCCCTGGCTTTCTGCCCCAGGAGCATGTTAGCCAAATGGCCGTTAGGGTAGAACTGGAGTTCGTGCTATTGAATGTTGGATCATTCCACAAGACAATGGAGCTCGTGGCATCAGAGTGTTGGCGCCATCAGTTGAGATATCGGGGTACGTGCCTTATGCAAGACGAGTACAGGATCTCGACGGATGAATCCGTCTGCGCGGAAACCGAGCAAGGGGCCGGCGTGCCTCTCGAAGTCTCCACCCCGATTCTTTACAGTACCGCCTGGAAATTGGTGATACCCGAAATTCTCAGTATACTGGGGCGTTGTGGAACGTTGGCATTCAATACTCCAACAGCACTACACATCCACGTTGGCATGCAAGTGGGATACCAAGATCATGAAATCCGCCGCATTTGCAAGGGCATCATCATCTTCGAAAAAGAAATTGACAAACTTCACCACCGAACCCGTGTTCCAGCTCGGGATGACAGAAGGTCGTTTTATAAAACATGCCGCTACAACGACACCTTCAAATACATGACCGCGCAACAGGCACTCTCACGCCTGGATTCTCAACCTTCTGCACCACAATTGGCCTTCTGTATGAACCCAGACACGTGCGGATCCTCCCACGAGAAGACTTACAAGTATAACTTTTGGAGCCTGTGGCTTTATCAAACTATAGAATTTAGACAGGCAAGGGCCACAGATGATCCGAAGGAAATCCTGGAATGGATTGCCATGGTGACAAAGTTTGTGCAAGCGTGCTTGAATACAAGGAGAGGGGAGTATGTAAGAATGGCAGGGCCTAGTGGTATCACGGGAGATGACCTTGTGCGGTTCGGGGTCCGACCTCCACCTATAGCTAGGCCGGGGGGCGCAGGAAAGGCTAGGGAGGAGGGGCATAATAACTTGGGGGATGATCGGGGGTCTGTTCCCGGACGGGTTTGGGTAGCCTTTACATCTGCTCTCTTTTGCTCTTTATGTAGGTTGTCGGTGCGAAGACTAATACATTTCTATCATAGGGCCTCGGGGCAAATGGCTACGGGGGAGCAATTGGAGAGGGGTTTGAAGGACAGGGAAGATGGGGCCCGAAGGAGAGTAAAAAGAGCGCTTGGGGTCGCGAAGGATACTTGTAACATACTTTAAGTTAGGTGCTGAGCTAGTTTTTGTATGGTTCTGTACGGGGGGTCGTACTCCCGGCGATATGCTATGCCGTGGTTAGTTTTTGTTTCGGTTATTGGTGGAGGTCGGTTACTTGGGCGAAGATATTGATGTAAATCGGGTAAGTTAGTGGGTAGTTGGGTAATTGTGTGTGGGCACTTTCTTCTTACACCTTCTTAGTGTTGGAACAAACCATCAGGAAATATGGTCTTGCTTGCCGCTGTTGATCTGGCGCGGTTGAATCCCTTGAACTTTGATCGTAGGATGTTTATTGTCTCCAGCACTCATAGCTTAAGGACCTTGGTTGACATCGAGCATCAGATGGCAGCCCCGTGGAAACCGTTCCAAGAAGGGAAACTTGAACGAACTCGGCATGAGGATGTGGTTCAGTGGTATAGCCCCCAAAGAGCATAGCGGTGGTCTGTCGTTTGATTCGCCGTGTCCCCATTTTGTCCCCTTTGTGCTCCTAGATAGAGCAATCGCTGATCCCAAGGGTAACCCGGGGTCCAGACTCCAATTCTCCACACTCAAATTGGCCAGTCTCGGCAGCACGATTTCCAGATATCATACTTTGGAATTAGTCAGCATCCGCCTGCCCCGATACCCTGACCCCGGAGGTGGAAAGTGTGGAGGGGGTCGGGGATTTCTCGTGTTCGGCATGGGGCATGTACGGGGTGGGTGGGAATTGGGGTACTGCACTACCGGTAATCTGCCCTTATAATAATTCGCTTGATGGACGCTGCAGGTTTTGTCCGACAGGGGGGGGATCGGTAACATAGATTGGCCGCTTCGGGGAAGGAATGCGTACCAGCATATATTAGCCCACCGTATTATAAGTCACTGGCAGTGCAAATCAATTTTGGGGCGAGTGGGGAGTGCGATTTGGGGTAGTTATGGGGGGGGGTGTTTGGGGGGTTAGGATGCGCACGTTGTGCTTGGAAGTTGATTTTTGGGCGATCTTACGGAATGAGATATATCCTACAACTCCTGTTTCCAGGAAGAAATTTCTTCTAGCTTCATGTTTGTGTTATCGGTGGTTTTGATGGTGTTTGATATCTTGGGGGGGGGGGGTTCCCTTTGTTTTTTCTATTTCCCAACTTCAACGTGAAGCCAATTACTACCGCCGCGGGTAAAGACCCGTGTCGTGTGCTGAGGAGAACTTAGCATAGGACTTATGATAGCTTTCACGAGGCTGTTAGGGGACACTCGTTGATATAATCGGGCGTTCTATATGAGGGATGTCCATTTTGGTACTTTAGATTGAGCTTGGTACCTTCCGATCCGCGTCCCCGCCCTGTATGCCCCTTGGGCTGTCGTATTACGGAAGCCCGACTATTGCGATTCTGTATTTACTACTGCCATTTGTCGGCTCCATATTGGAGACCATCCGAAATTACCCGTGGACTGGTGCGCCGCACTAGTCTCCACCTAATACCCCACAAACGCACGTGGAGTGGCAAGTCCCTCTAAACCTGGGACCTGTGCACAGTGCCACATTAGTTGAAAAGCAACAACCCCACAAGTTTTCAGTATTTGCACCAAAGTACGATACAGTACAGTAGTGATCAGGTGCCCATGTTTCCTGTCAACTACTCGTATATTATACCCCAAGCTAAGGAAGGGCACAAATACCAGGCACAGTCCTATGGCCCTTACAATACTAAGCGATGATTCTTTCGCGAAGAAGGGGCAAGAGGAAGATTCAGGAATATCTTTCGGGGAAGGTGGCCAATCCAGTAGAGAGAGGTGTATCGAAATGTCTCTAGCAGTTTAGAGATTTCTCAAGCCTTTCTCCCTCATCATCTATGATATCGCCTACTAATTGAAGAATCAATCGCAGAAAACAGTGGTAAGGTGACTATCAGCACGAAGAAATTAACAACAGGATCATCAGTCGTTGGCTATAATATGATACTTCAATTAACCGCACTGCAGTTGAACCACTAGCCCATGCCCTCTTCAGCTCGTACCAATGGAGAGGGGAGCAGGGAAGATTGCCAATAGCAAAAACAGATACGTCATAGCCGGTATTACACACAGATATGCTCTGATAAATTTAGGTGCCAGTAGGAAAAGGCGCGGACTATTCCGAAGAAGTATCTCAATATGGGAGGCACTCTACTGTATCTCACTTCACCTCCAAAATCAGGTTGCCAAATCGCAGAAAAATATTAAAAAAAAAGTCCAATATATCATAGCTTTAGCGACACACAGTTCAATGGACCCCAACGCCACCTGGTCTTTGAAATTGAGCGGGAGCGCTTTCCGATAATACCGCGGTGGATGGGCCAGTTGGACTAAAGGGTGTTTAAAGCAGAAATCCGGGCCAACCCATGACCATTGGTAGGCACCTCGCCACCCCACCAGAACGTCTTGTTCAATCGCTCCCTTGATGCTACCCACGATACATAATATTATACACCCTAATTCCGTGTATGTCTCTTCCTCAAGTGGTTGCCGGATATAGTAGAAATGCAGACAACCATGCTCGGTCGAATCGGGGGGACGCGTTCTATGCTGCGGCGCAGGTGCTCGCGCGCGGGCCAGGTCGTGGTGCAATCGGCATCGGATTTTGCTGCACGAGTATACGAGTAGGGAAGACTTTCTACGAAGAAGGTTTAAAATATCATCCCTTGGCTAAATTACGCCTCCTACACCAACACAAGGTGCGTCCTAAGGACACAAATCGTCGTAATGTGCCCGAGGAACAAGTGTAGGCTCGAGATTCTGCTTCCTTGTTGCCCTTTTTCCTAAGCACTCCTAGAAGCTACTCTTCCTTTTACTTTAGTATTATTTCTCGGTGGAAAACAGGGCTCGCTGGGTATTTCAAAGATCTGGTTTGCCAACCAAGGTGGCAATCATCAGGGCTGTCTTGGCGATGCATTATTTCCAAAACATGGCCTTTGTCTGCCTGCGGGAAGTTTGTGTTCCATGCAAGGATGGTAAAGTAGGGTTCGCGGTAAGAATGGCCGCATTGGAAACACTTTCCCATTTTACATTGCATACTGCACTCGTACAGTATGGTTTCAACACCACCAAAGCCCCTTTGGGCAGAAGCAGGGACAGAAAACCTGTTTGCACCCGCTCTGCTCTCGTGACCCCATCGGGGCATCCTCATGGCATATGGATATATTTCCTACCACGGCAGTGTTGCTCCCCGGATCCAATGCCGGTCATCTACAGTAAGAACCTTGTGCTAGCTGAGTTCATGGTAGAGACAAGGCCGCGGTGGGCCCCGTGGGCTCCATCTGAGTCTGGTTAGCCCCACTTTCGGCCCGCCGTGCGTTGGTGAAGCGAGCTCCATCTGCACGACATGCGGGGCCACTTGATTCCGCAGATCCCCCAACAGCTTCTAAAGGATAAGTGGTCGGGGACGTTAAGATCAGGTCTCCGCGGGCATTGCCACCCTTTGTGGAATTTACTTGGATAGTATGGTTTATCCGCTGCTTATATTAACTTGGCTTGAATTAATTCCATCCTTCACCTAAGTGTGTTAAGTGAGAACCTTGTTGGGTGGAGCTCTAGTCTATCATCCACGTGGGCGCTGTGGAAGCGTCCACGATAGGCCAATAACTATCATACAGGTAAGGGAACAATTACACCCTCGCCCGTTAAAGTCTTCATGTTAGCGAGCCTAACCCCTAGGTTAGACGAACCCGAAAGATGCGAGAAACATACTCGAGTAATAAACGAAAAATAAACCTCCGGGATAAGCGTGCTTCACCAGGAGGCAATCCCTGACCAATGAATGCTGTTGCGCAACACCGGCCACGGCACGAGATCAACACCCTTGCATCCGATCCCCCACTCTAGCCCCCCGCATTCACAAGAGCAGGGTGATATACCGCACTGCCCTACCCGTGATACAAAACTATCGCCACGAGGGAGCGCCATCGCGGAGAGATCGTTAGAAACCCACACTCTGGACAGTGCGACGAGTGATCTTTTCGAGCATTACGTCGTACCTGCCGCTTGAGACCAGGGACAGCGGATAATTGCGCTTTCAATGACCAATATGGTCATATTCCGAAATATCCTGCAACTATCCCCATCTCTCTCAGCTATCCTCTCGACCCGAAGCTGAAAGATATCCTATCTGGAATTGGTGAACGTGTCTTTTGAGCTATGATCAGAAGTGGAGGAAGCAGCCTTGGAGCTGCTAGTGTGTACAGCTTGTAGGTCATCACATAATATCTGCGGTTTTACCTGAGGGGATGGCAGTGGTGGGGGCAATTGAGTGCCGGAAATGGCGAGAGATACGTGAAAAGGTGTCTTGTCCGATGCGACAAAGTAAGGGATCGTTTAGGAAAGACTCAATCAGGCGGAACCTGCCTTTTCGCAGCTCTGGGGAGGTGACCGCGAGAACAAACATCTTCACGACACCTCCCGGAACCCGCTATCAATGCCTCCCAGAATTGCCGCGTGGAGTTTAGTACCCCGCCCCCCTAGAAGGTGGATGTCAGTGATCTCTGAGAGCGAGCCATCTCTGCGAATATAAAAGGCTTCATTTTCCATCGTCAGAAACATCCCCTCATAACCAACTATCAATTGAACGAAAGTGCGCCACCACGCCCGCATCCGTCTATTTCCCAATTTTCTAAAACAAACTTTGCAAAAACCCCCATCGCAATGTCTACCCAATGGGAGGACATCGTCCTCGAACTCTACAACTTGATGAAGGAGAACGACTGGATCCTCAATTTCAACCAAGCCATCGCCGATGCCAAAAGGGCAAATGTCCCAGATCTTGACGAGATCAACGACCTAACCGACTACCTCAACGACATCAACAAATTCCTTTTCTGGAAGCCAACGGAGAACGAACGCGGCGACGTGGTCTACAATAAAATCTGCCTCTTCTACTGGATCCTGGAACAGCGCACCACATCAGTCCTTCAATCTGTGGTCCTACCCAACCAAGCCAATAAGCAACTGACAACCCTCTCACAATGGATGGTTGACTACGCAAATTGCCTCGGGGCCTTCTACGACACCGAAGACTCGATCAACGCCGAGACCATTGAAACATTCTACAATTCTCCTGCCTACAATATGGATCAGTACCTGCGTCCCGAAGGAGACTGGAAGACCTTCAACGAGTTCTTTGCCCGCCACGTTAACCCCGGCTTGCGCAACCCGGATGACCCCACAAACCCGGAAGTCATTGTCGGCGGAGCCGACTCGGTTTTTGACGGCCAATGGCCAGTAGACGACGAGAACAACGTCTTCTTCGTGAAGGGTGTGCCGTGGAACATCAAAGAGCTCCTGAAAGGCAGCGACTACGCCGAAAGATTCCAGGGAGGAACCTTCATGCACGCCTTCCTCAATACAACCGACTACCATCGCCTGCACGCCCCTGTCCCCGGAGCTGTCGTCGAGGCAAAGGTGATCCAGGGAGCAGCATATCTGGAAGTCGTCCCCGTCACCGACCCAAACTCTGCCAAAGAGAACGGAAAGCCGACCCGGAATATGTTCTCCATGCGACGTTGCTTGACCAAAGGCAAGACCGATGCGAACATCATCTGGCATGAGTACCGGAAGGGAATAGTCCCCGGCTACGGCTCCCGTCGGGAAAGTAAGGTTGCTAGGGGTTTGGATGCACCAGATACCCCCGGTTACCAATTCCTGCAGGCGAGGGGGTGTATCATTATTGATTCCCCGATTGGGTTGGTTGCTATGCTCCCTGTTGGGATGGCACAGGTTTCGTCGGTGAGGTTGTCGGTTGAGAAGGGCCAGACGGTTGAGAAGGGACAGGAGGTTGCGTATTTCCAGTTTGGGGGGTCAGATTATATACTCGTCTTTGAGAAGGGGAGTCAGGTCAATCTCACCGCGCAGGAAGGTACCCATTACCTTACCGGGCAGCAGATTGGGACTGGGAAGGTGCCGAGTCTCGATTAGGTGTGGGGAATTAAGGGAGCCGACCGATGTGTGGTTTTGAAGGAGAGCTTTAGGACACGGAAGTGCGGGGGTCGGGACGGTTCCCTGAAGATTGCGCGCAAGTTTACGTTCTCTGATGTGTTTGCTGCTCTGTTTATGGTTTTGTTTTGCGGGCTGCGTATGTGGGTTACCCGCGTACTCTGTCATGTATTGTCACGAAGTGGATCTGGCTTTAATGATGAATCCCTTCCCATCTATAAGCGTGCTTAAAGTCCTCCTACACTAGTACTACCCACTCACCATTCCCATTAATCAGTAATATCCCCTAAATCGACAACCTACCCCAACTAACTCTGCCAAGAGCCACGAGTGACCCCCTATGAGCGGGGGTAACAACATGCGTTCATCAAGCATCACCCCTTCCGTAGTCCAAGTCCCCATAAAACTGCCAGCGATAGCCCAACTCCCCAGAATCCGTCCAATGGCGCAACGGAAGTATCCATGGCCCTGACAAACTCGTAAACTGCCCACACATTGCTCCTCCTCGACCCACTTCCTAGTGATTGTGTTCAAGGTTACGAATTCCCCCCGCTTATATTAGGTGCTTCAACGATCTCACTATATCCTGTCAAGTCCACACCAGTCGCATTAGTATCCTCCTTCTGCCCCCTGCCGTCCCTAGATTTCCCGAGCCGCTTCAATTCTCTCCACCATCATCATCGACCTTAATTAAGCTATACCGTGCCCCCTCTAGAAAGTGTCCGATACCCGTATATGTGCGGGCATGCGCTTTTCGTCTCTTATAAAGTCCTAAAAAGTGAGTTTCGAGGCCATCCTGACAGGGGGGGGGGGAAGGATAACAGCTTCGTGATGCTCAATTCGTCCGCAGAATCTCCCGCGCTCTTGGAGATGACGGGTACTACATTAGGACCAAGGAGTGGGATCTGAATGTAACTAATTTCAAATGTGATACAATAGTTGCGTGGGCCTTGATAAAGGGCACGAAGAACTTCTCATGGGCTGCTCAAGCGGGATGATGTCAATCCCGACTCGAAAAATAAGGATTACCGAACGCTGATTCTGCTAGCTCACGCGAGCGGGGGCAGGGAGGTCCGGGGGTGCTATCTCGATGGTGGATGACCACCCCAGCAGGGTAATATGACGATTCACTACTCTTGCCAGAGGCCCAGTCAGATGGAAGAAACCCATAAAAATGGTATTGGGACGGAAATATTCCACCATAAAACTAGCATTGGGTGATATATTAACAGGTTTTTCGTCCTTAGCCATCTGAGCTACTTCTATCCCCGCCGAATGGATCCAGAGACCCCAATACCGGGGGTCAAAAACAAGAACCCCCCCTCTATCCCACCCCGCAAAGCCCCTAGTATAGCATGCATGCAGATCATAGATACCGCTCCCATCACCTAGATTTCCTAACGTCTCTAGCGATTTGTGATCGGACGTGTTGGGTCGAAATTTTTTTTTGAGCTTCCACTCGCTTCTCTCACTTCACCAACTGAGCTGGCATCGTCGATCACTCGATAGACCTGCTGGACTCAGTGTTTACCCACTGCACAGGCCAGTTTATTTTCGCAACGAAGCCAGTGAGTTCGACCGTGGGTCAACGGTGAATCCTGAGGGAGATGTACTCCCTAATTGGTTGTTGGAAGGATACGGAGGTTAGCTGGATGGCATGGTATTCAGCTGGAACGATCATATCGGCGGCTGTATGTGTTTTCCCCGCTGCGAGGGTTTCCCCCGCAATTGCGTGTGTTTTCTTTGAATACATCATATGGTGCTGGACAATCAAACCCAGCCTATCCAGCCTAGTACTCCAGGAACCGGGTGATATGTTATGATGCTTACAATGCAAGTTGTTTGAAAAGGGAATACCTTTACACCCCCTAACTCACCAGCCTCCAAACCCTAGATATCTTGATCTTCCTCATAGATCTCTGGTTCACTATTGTCTTGCCCCTCTTGTTTTATGTAAATCATACCACTTTCTATATTCTATCCCCTTGAAACTCGATTGTCAGCTTCCCACACGTAAATCCTACTATCATACCTCCAGCCCTGCTAGCATTCAACTCTTTGATGATACTCACCAATTCAGCTCCCACCTTAGCGTAATTGTTTTTAGTTCCTGATTGCTAGCTCCCGTACATATTCTAGAGAAAAATTAATCAAGCATGTTCCTCTTTAATGAAAATGTTTTACTGTATAAAGGCTGGTGTATTTATATTTAGATGTATCATATATTACGAGCAGGCTATCCCCTCCATTTTGTTTCTTTCTCTGTTTAAGTGTATAATAATGGAATCATTTTTCACTTGATCACCACTCATCATCGATTGCTTGGCATCTTGGCACATTTTGGTGCTGGTCCCTCGCTTATGATATCATACCCTACGAAATGTTCCACTTTCAAACACTGATAGCTCGTTCAGGAGTTATTTTCTCATAATTTCCTCTAGTAAATATGTTTATTAGATAATTCCTAACCTGACTACCAGACAGATTTTCTATATCTAACTTGCCCATTCTGTTGCGGTTGATCGTATTGCCGGTTTAGCGCTTCATCACGGTGGATTTTGATTGTCTGGCACCATATTATCGAGTGAAATAAAAATACTCGAGTACAAGTACAGTACAGCACTTTGCTTTGGCGCCATGGCATATTGATGGCAGTTGCGACTCCAGTGAGCGGGGGGCACAGCGAATTTTGTCCCTAAGATCGCACTATTAGGAATTCCCGATGGGGTCATTGGGATTGCGGAGAAGCTAAAAAAAGGTCGTATAGCCAGGGCTATTTGTTCGTTCGCCTGCCCCTTTGCATTTGTCCACGATGTCGGGGTTCGCAGCGGATTACCTTTTGCTTCCTTCCCCGCGGCGGATTGCGGATGTTTTGGCTACCGATACGACAGCTGGAAGCGGTCAGAGGAATCATTTTGTTTTATATCCATCCATATACAATAAGTAACACCCATCGGCGACGGCAGTGGTGTGGCGTTAGGTAGGTGATGAGGTACCGGTACTTGTTTCGTAACTATACTAGGACACGTCCTGTACCGTATGTACAGGTACAGCACCTGCGGCGGGGGTGTGCGTGCGGTTTAGGTGGTACCTTATGGACCATGTACTAGGTATCATAGTCCAAAGTTTCTCCCTCTGGAAAAGGGATGAAAAACACGCCGAAAAACCCGAGTTTCGAGAGAGAGAAAACCAGAAAAAACACCAGACTAGACCTTACTAGGAGAGAGGTAATTCCAACGTCCTCGCACATGGTCCGGTATCCATTGTTCAGTGATGCCATCTCCAGGGCCCCAAATCCCTCAATTTCAGCATATATTGCACCTCGTTTTCCATTTTCGTCCACTTCTTTCTTCCTCCCCATCACTCAATTCCTTTCTTCAATTTGTCAATTTCCCGGGAAAAGCCACCAAATTATGAGGTTCACTATCTCCTCCATTCTCGTATTCTCACTCCCTCTAGTTCTAGCAGAAACCCTCCCCGCTCCCTCCTGTCCAGTAACAAATGTGACCACTCTGTTGGATCCCGTCACCCAAGCCTACACCGACGCAGTCAGTAGAAGACCATCACCCTTCACATTTCCACTTCCCGAGATACGTGACGGATACCAGAACAATGTCTCAAACCCGTCAATTGAGATCACTACCAAAATCCTCTCCCTCCCGGTTGGCCCGACTGGGAATGTCACTGCTTACCTTTACAAGCCGAAACCCGATGACAGGGAGAAGAAGGACCCGTTACCCGTTCTCGCTTATTTTCATGGTCTGTTTATACTGACCCCGTAAAATAATGATGGATTGGTAGGTAGGAGTGCTAATTGGAGGGCTCGCGCTTTTTAGGCGGCGCCTGGATATTTGGGGGTCCAAAGAGTTACGAAAGGCTTATCACCGACCTGGTTCTTGAGTCAGGTGCCGCTGTGTTCTTTGTTGATTACACGTTAAGCCCAGAGGCAGTGTATCCGGTTGCGATTGAGCAGTGTTATGCTGCTGTGCAATGGCTGATAGAGCATGGTGAAGAGTTCGGCGTTGACCCTGCAAAAATGGGCTTTGGCGGGGATAGTGCTGGTGGTACGCTCCACTATTTTTTCTTCTCGATTCCTCGCGCCCAATTGCTCACGAGATGATCGGATAATGGTATACAGGGGAAATCTCGGCAGCTGTCAGCCTCCTCAGCATTAAACTCAAAACCCCGCTTCCAAAATACCAAGTCCTCATTTACCCAGTTACCGACATCTCCTCCGAGGGCACAAGATTCAGGGAGCTCACTCGAGACCCCAGTGTTACCCCCACCAGAAACAGCTTCGCGGTTTCCTTGTACGCGCCAGATGTGAACTCAAGGCTTGAGGACCTTGCCAGCCCCGCGCTTGCGAGCGACGAAGATCTTGCCAAATTCCCGGAAACCCTCATAATCGTTGCGGAAGTGGATCACCTTAGACAGGAGGGCGAGGATTTCGGAAGGAGGTTGCAGAAGTTGGGTGTTCGTGCTGCTACCCTTAGAGTTCTCGGGACCATTCACGGCTTTGTCAGCATTAATGCACTAGCCCAAACTCCAGCCGCTAGGGCTACCATAGAGCTTGTGGGACATCAGTTGAGGAAGACCTTGTGCTAGAGGGGCATTATGATGTATGGGTTAACTTTTCTCCCCCCGAATCGATTAGTGAATTAAATGTCTATATCGAGGCAATTATGGGCGTGTCTTGTACGAGTATCTCGAGTATAGTACGGTATAACTTGGGCTAAGAGACCAAGACAATGATGCATCTTGGCCGGTGGCATCGGTGACATTGCACTGAGGACCGTT